TATATATATATATATATATATATGTATATGTATGTATGTATGTGTATATATGTATATATATATATATATGTATGTATATATATGTATGTATATATGTATATATATGTATGTATATATGTATATATATATGTATGTGTATATATGTATGTATATATGTATATATATATGTATGTGTATATATGTATATATATATATATGTATGTATGTATGTATATATATGTATGTATGTGTATATATGTATGTGTATATATATGCATGTATATATATATACATATCAGATCAGTCCAATATAACAATATATCGATTTGTACAGTTTTTCTGAGGCTTTTATATTGTTTATATCTATATCGAATTATATCGTTATCGACCGAAATTAAGAAATATATTGGGATAAAAGTTTTGACCATATCGTCCAGCCCTAGATGTCACAATAACAAATTTTACTGAGTGATTAACTGTCTCAGAAATTATTGCGATTAACGATAATATTGTTTGAAATTTAACAATAATTGTCAAATTTTAGAAGAAATTTTGATTTGTTTGGTTGTAGTACCTTTTTTGACCATCTGATGGCAGTATAGGACTGTTTGAACCAAAGGATGGATAGTTGAGCAGCATGTCTCTTTAAGAAAAATGGGAGGGCCCTTGACGTGACATGGGCTGACATGGCGGGCGCTTGGTGATTTGAGCACTTTAGCATAGCATTTTTCACACAAAGCTTTTAATTAAAAAAATCAGTAAACAAGTTCTCAGCTTCTATTTGCAGAGAAAAACAACTTTTTAGACAAAGGCACGAGTTTCAACCGTGAATTTTTGGAGCTTCGACAAGACGGAGGTTTTTTCCCGAGGTCAGCCTGTTAGCTTAGTTCATAGCTTAGCTTCTCAGCTTAGCTGCTTTTAACGATCCAAAAACACGATTTTGGACGGTTAAAACAGATTTTAAAGAGAAAGGGAGGGGTCTGTGAAGAGCACCAGAGTTGAGACTTTTGTCATCCAGTGTCTTCGGTAGAAAGAGACACAAGGAAACGATAAAGCCGAAAAATGAAAATAAGGTCGATAATTTTAATTTATCACTTGATTAATTGATTAAATGATTAATTGATTTATTGTTTATTGCGACAGGCCTAGTTTAGAGTATATCTTAGATCCTTGTATACGATTTCTTATTACACTTTATATTTTTTGCTATTTTTGGATGTAACTGAGACCTTTGCTACACAATTTCGTTCCACCTAATGTACCACATGTGATACGAATGATAATAAAGAACCTTGAACCTTGATCTTTACCCGTTTTATTATTTTGGGGTCGCAGAGGACGCTGATGTTCATATCCAGCAATAACTGCATGAGAGGCAGGGTACACCCTGGATAAGGTCACAAGTATATCACACGCATACAGAGACAAATGAGACAAACAACCTTTCACACTCTCACTCACACCTTGGGACAATTTAGAGTTAACAATAAGCCCAACATGCCTGTTTTTGGTGTGTGGGAGGAAACCGGAGTACTCTGAGAAAACCCACACATGCACCGAGACAACATGAAAACTCCACACTGAAAGGTCCCCAGCTGGGATTTGATCTGGCAACCTTCTCATTGAGAGGTGATGGCTCTACCAACTATGCCACTGTCTCATCCCCTGTTCAAACTCAAGAAAGCAAATATGCAGGTAATATTTATTTTAAAAATGAATACTGCTTAAAAATTAATACTGCTAAACCCAAAATGGTGCAACTGCCACTTGTTCTCCAAACTGGATAAATGAAATTAAGTACACAAAGCTGTAAGACTTGCTTGACTTGATCTAGATATAAAGGTATGTATGTCACACATATGTTAGAGATGACATGCCAAAGTGCACATACTGGCTAAGAATTCATCCATTCATCCATTTTCTACACTTGATTATTCCCATTCAGGGTTGTGGGGAGCAGGTGCCTATCTTCAGATGTCAACAGACAAAGGGCGGGGTACAATGAGGCCAGGCCATCAGTCCATCATAAGGTCAAAACAGAAACCCAAGAGCTTAGACTAACAACTGTGATGACCATATCTCAATATTTTCTACAAAATGACTATCATGTAACAGTAATTTAGTGGGACTGTTCACTCTTGGGTCCAGCAGGATCCCAGATTACTGCTTCCCGAGAGAACAGCCAAGGTCCATGAATCACACAGTAAATGATTCAAGGTAGAGTTAAGTGACTCTGTAAATAAAGAAACAGTTATCCAACTAGTCTATTTTTAAACAAGTTTGAAAATTCACCTTTTAAAAAACAAGTTGCCCTTGTAACTTAAAAGTATAAATGTCTAAACTCCACTCAAAACCATTCAGGCTAAAGGTTAAAGGTATATCAGGCTAAAAGTATCCGAAAAGAAGGAGGGCTGGTTGTTCAAGACTGGTAGTGCGGAGAGGTCTCTGCCTCCCACTGTGTATTTGACAGAGGAAAGCAAGATAATCCTGCTCAGGCCAAACACTAACCAGAAGGAACGAAAAAAAAAGTTTTTCTGTGTAAAAATTGTAAAGATATGCTGTCTTGGTTTCATTATTGTGATGACAATGGTGATTCCACTTTAGGGATCATTTGAAGAGAACTTTATATAAAAAATAAAAAATAAATAAAAAAAAAGCAAAGCAGATCATTCACATGCAATTGCAAGTTAATTATAACTTTTAATCATCGTCTTTTTTTTTATGTATGTGTATGTTTTTGTACAGTGCCCTGAGACGACCTGTTGTGATTTGGCGCTTTATAAATAAACTGAATTGAATTACATATAAACCAAACTAATCTGTCAATACATTTTCTATTTTTTTTCTGGCTGCATTCTAATTCAATGTGGTTTAGTATATCTGTATTTATATTGACTAGTTTGTAAAATAAAGTAATCAAACCAAGGAAATGAGAGAATATTAAATCTTCACTTTGATTTACAGCATGCACAATGTGGCAGGTGACAAAGGACAGGAGGAACTAGTTTTTCCTTCTACCAGCCACCAGGAAAAGACCTAAAACACATCCTGAGAGAGTGACAATACGTCTCAACCAGTTGTGGGAAAATGGTTGATAATGTTGAGCTGATAACTATAATGTACTATAATGTGTAATTGAATTATCATTGCGAATAACTTCAAGTCCTTGTGCAAAAGTGTGAAATGGCTTTTTGAAAGCTAGTCAGTAAGTATGTCGTCTCACCAGCTGAACGTAGGCCACTTTATAGTCTGGCACCTTAACCCTCTGGTGCAGATGGTTCCTCTTTTTGTTGGACCCTGAAACACACAAAACAAGAATTTTTACAACTGTTGGCAATCAGAAAAATAAAAAACTGATAGCAGCACTGTGACATAGGGATCATTATAAATGAGAAGTATTCTAATATAATTGGACAGCAATTTTGTTCTATTTATTTGTTGAAGAAACTTATCAATAATCAAAGATGCAATGAACTGTCAAATAATTAATTAGCCAAAAGATATAGCACAATACTCTTATCATAATGACTTGACAACAGTTTTAACATTATTTAGCAATTGTGTACATACAACAGAGATTTCTTGTTCATTTTGCAGTTTGCATGTGTACGCATCTTGTTTATGGGCTTAGTTTCATGAATCAAGAGGATTTTTTGTATTGATCATAAGCATTAAAGTATCTTATGCAGGTATCTAAATAGTTTTAATGACAAAAGCTGCTGTCAATAGGAGATGTTAGCATTTTGGAACACCAAAATGCTAAAAATTAAATAAATAAATAAATAATTATGAAAAAAGTATCTAAGCTCATTATTATGCTTTTTTTCTTTCTTTCATTTTTATTCTTTTACTTCATAATTGTGTTTTTCATGATGGCTTAGGGCTGGACGATATGGCCAAAACTTTTATCACGATATATTTCTTAATTTTGGTCGATAACGATAAAATTCGATATCGATATAAACAATATAAAAGCCTCAGAAAAACAAAAAACTATACAAACAAATTAATGTTCACCCGTTATTTGTATTTAGCCTTCAAAAAAATTGAAATCACTGTCAAATAAACATAAAATTCGAATCTTTGTCAATATTAATAGTTTTAACTTTAAACAACAACTTTAAAATTGACAGCATTGAAATTTGTTGTTAATGAAATAACATTTTTGGGTCTCGTTATTGATGAGAAGCTGACAAGGAAATCTCAAGTAAAATACTTAAAAATAAAAATAATCAATTGCATTACTGTATAAAGTAAAAGAGTTTTTGAATGACAAAGCTTTGTATATATTGTATAATGTAATGATTGTTCCATATTTAATCTATTGTAATGAAGTTTGGGGAAAAGCATGTAAAACAATTACAAATCCTATTTTTATTTTTATAAAAAAGAGCTATAAGAATTATTTGTAGTATGAAGTGCTATGGTCACCCAACAAATATATTATTTCATCAATTGAAATTATTAAAATGTTAAGATTTGGTTGAATATAGTATTTTACAAGTCATGTATAAAGCTCATAAAAATATTAGCCCCAAATATTCAATTAAAATTTGTAAAAAATAAATATAACCTTATGGGAATGTAGATGTTTGTAAAACCTCCATTTAGAACTAGTGTGAAGGAGCTGTGTTGTAATTCAGGGAACAGGATTATGGAATTGTCTTGATATCATCATAAAAATTTCTAAAACAATTTATATGTTTAAAAAGATGATAGTTAAAGATGTTAGGAAGGTATAGTACCACGTGAAGGATACCTGAAGTTTTTGGTTTTCAGTTTGGAGATTGTTCAAGTCAAGGTTGTTGTTTGTTTGTAGTTATTTTGTATTTTTTTAATTAGGGGCAGATAATTTTTTTCTTCTTTCTGCAACCTTTTCATTCAATGTTTTTTTTTTCTTTGATGAATTTCTTTTATTTTAAATGAATGAATAAATGATAAAAATAAAAAAAACATGCAGCGCTGGGGGTGTTTCAGGGACACGTTGGCTCAAACTTTTATTGTGCTTCATCTTGTGACTCATCATCTTCTGTCAAGTGGAACAAGTTAGATGTTCCAACCGCTAGTTAGAACGACTCTCCGTCACATTTTGCAGCACACTGACTGAAACCTGCAGTTTATCGGATCTTAGAAAGCCGAACCACTTCCAAACCAGCAAATTAGTCTTTTCTCTCTTATCAGTGATGTCATCTGCTTTCTCTTCGCTTGTGAAAGCTTGTTCAGTCACATTCTGACGATCATGGGCGCTCATTTTGAAGCAAAAACTTAGCGCGTGTTGGAGATTAGCCTAGCTTAGCCTGCTACCACTAACGCCTTCTGGACTTGAGCTCTGCGTAACACCTACGTCACCACGCACTTACATAGTTGTGTCGCACCTTTTTCTGTCCGGGTTGAAACTGAAGTGGCCGCTTCAACCCGAACAGAAAAAGAAATGCGTCAGTGAAACGCTGTAATCCTATCGAAATATCAAAAATGTGCTTAAAACTCATTTCATCATTATTGAATAAAAGTATATCGCGAGATATATCGATATTGAATTATTGTCCAGCTCTATGATGGCTTATTTATTTCATAATGCCACTTTTCATTAGCATGACTTCAGCTGTCAATCAACATCAGTGGGTTGGACATTCACACCCACTGGCTGATCCTTCACATCCATTAGTTTTCCTGAATACCTGCCCACTGGTACAGCTAGCATAGCAGCTAGCAGCAACTTGTTATGTCAACAGTCATGAAGGATGGCAGAGTTGCATGAACGTCATTCAGCTCAGGTAACTTTAGCAGATCAAATTGAGAAGATTAGGTTCTCAGAAGATACAGGTGTCGTGACAATAAGTGATGGACTGCCAAAAATCGATCGGCGCTGCGGGAGGGCGCACAGGACCGCGCACGGGAGGACACGCTGTTTTAGTTCCTTGAATTTAACAAGATTAACACTAGCTGTACCAGTGAGCAGGTATTCAGGAAAACTAATGGATGTGAAGGCTCAGCCAGTGGGCATGCAGGCCCACCCACTGACGTCGATTGACAGCTGAAATTATTCTGCTGAAATCGCCATTGTGAAATAAATAAGCCATCATGAAAAACACAATTATGAAATAAAAGAATAAAAATTAAAAATGTTTTTATTTCATAATATTTTATTTATTTATTTTTGGTCATTTTGGTGTTCCATATAGCATAGCATCAAAATGATTATTAGACTAATCTCAATAAGATGGTGGTGGTCAAGTCAACAGGCCCTCTGAGTAAATGCCATTGCCATGGGAACGGTTTATGACATGAAAAACAAGGGAAACATTCCAGTGTAATGACTCATTTTAGCATGTGGTGTGTGTGTGTGTGTGTGTGTGTGTGTGTGTGTGTGTGTGTGTGTGCGTGTGTGTGTGCGTGCGTAAATGTGTATGGCACATACAGCCAGCAATCACTACCTAGGCAGCACACTGTGCAGGGAAAGCCCTAAGTGGGGTTGTAAAACAGCCCCTCCACACCACCATGGGCAAATGGAGGCCCTTGTGTGGGTGGGAGACGGAGGTAACTTAAGTGTATGTGCCGGTTTGTATTTGCACACTTGTGTATGTGTTCAGGTTGATGCGGAAATCCACGGTCAACTGCTTCAAACAAAGTATCGATACCATGATATGTTAAACAATCATGACACACATACAAGTGTACACCCTGAAAAGATACAAAACTGTGCTTTTCCCTTCATGCTTTCTCTACCTCTTTCCAAATGCATACAGACTCACAGACAGAGCTTTCACAGAACAGTTGCAAACGCAAGCACAATTTCTCCCACTTTGAGATTGCGGTTTGGCAAAACCAGCTATCACGTTACAAATCCCAGACTGGAGAGGTAACTATGGCAACTCCTTCCAAAATACCCCAGCCGCACAAAAAGGGAAGAAAGGGCTGTATTCGCCCCTCAGTCTTCTCATTCAATTGCTGACTCTACACTGCTGATGAAGTGGAACCCCTCACAGACAGGGATACCTTCCCTGACGAACCTTGGGATAACCGGGGACCCCAAGCTGCAGTTTCTTCTCGGTCCCACTCACTCCCCCACTACTCACGGATTTTCCTCAGCTTACCTAACTAAGAGGCATTCTTTCCTCTTCTAGCCTTTAATGACAACTCCAATAAACAGTGTTAATTGGTTCTCTTAACTACAGGGTAGGCGCCTCTCTCCCACCACCTCTCTCCATGACACTTTCTTGGTCTCTCATCCAAAGGTAACGGTTGGTCCTTGAGGCACAGAAGAAAAAAAATGTTTCTCCACCTTCAAGCCTCTCTTTTTGCTCTGCCATGAACTCCAGAGTTTTTTCTCCAGAATTCTAAGGAGCCAAGTTATCCATGCAAAACTGTTTCCTCTTCCATAAAAAGTTAAAGAGGATAAGTAGATCAATGCTATAACAGTAGTCTTGGCTCTATAATCATTACTGACAGAGAGCAGTAGTTTGGAGAACAGGGAGATGAAGGTCCTATTGGAGAACCCTAAAGCTGTGAGGTAGTAAGACATATGCACTTGTGTGAGGGGAGCATGGGATGTCCTGGAACAGCTGGAAGCTGGAGTGCTGCAGCAGCAGATTGTCAAATAAGCAGCTGTTTGTGTTCAGAGAAAACAAGAGCCAGGCATGCTAACCACTACCACAGCTAGCTGCTGGAAAACACTCTTACTGGTGGATTTTAACAGAGGACAATATACACCATAAACTGAAATTGCTAATCCATGCTAATCACCGCCAACAGTCTTTAAAGCCATAACCATTACAATTTGTGCTTCTCAAAGCAGATGGCTGCTTGTCCTGAGCCTGGTTCTGCTAAAAGTTTCTTCTTCATGAGGGAGGTTTTCCTTTCCACTGTCGCCTTCATGCTTGCTCAAGATAAGAGTTCTGTGATGGAGTTAAATTCAAACCAGTCTGCTCCTCAGATAGTGTTAACTTGTTATTTTTATATGAATGTTCATGTTAACTTATTTGTATATATGAATGTTTCTGTTCAGTGCCCTGAGACGACTTCTGTTGTGACTTGGCGCTTTATAAATAAACTGAATTGAACTTGTGCTTCTGTAAACTACACATATCATAAGCTAACTGTAACTAACAAAACTTGATAAAACTTCAAGATTAATTAATTAAAAGTTAAAATAGTATTTAAAAAATGTATTATAAAATTAACAAACAGGTGACGCAAAGTCTGGCAAAAGCAGTTTTTTGGACCTTGATCAACCACTTTAAGTTTTCTAAATGATCTAAGTGCTTGTATAAAGCAGCATAAAACTCACCAAACTGTATCCTGGTGCGGACCGCTCCAACAGGAATGTTGTAGATTTTCTCCAAGTAATTCTTTAAGTCATATTTGGTCATTCTGTCCAGAACAAAAGAGAAAAAGACACATGAGAAAAAGTTATGTCACAAAAAACGTTTCAGGTTTGTGTACCATAAAATTTTTTTGATGCGTGTTTGTTCATGACCACAGTGGAAGCTGGGAAGGCATTTGACACAGGTCAACATTTGCAAGGTCATTTTTTTGAATCACTGTTCATCATATATCACATTCACCTAATTGACATTTATATAGAAATAATGTAGCCCACTTCCCAACTGCATTACCATAATCTTGATAGTTATATTACCTACTGTAAAGGGACAGCGCAATCCTCAAAAACCTATATTCAGCTCTTATTGTATGGACCATAGAGAGAGGAGAAATGTGAGTGTCAGTGTTCATCCAATTAACTGGCTACAAGTATTGATCGTGCCCATTGAAATCCTACACAGGAAGTAGACTTGGCACCAAGTGATCTGGCGGGCCAGCCCAGCTCAAGGTAGCCCAATGGGTAGCATTTGGAAGAGATTCCTCTACCCAGAGGAAGAAAGGCTTTTAACTGCAAATCAATCAAGCCAATTGAATTAGCCTGGCGGAAAGCACTTCTCAAATGCGTCAGACAAAGTGCTTAATAGCGACGCTGTGGTCTGACATGAGTGCCTCGGATGTGGTGTCATATCGCCTCATATATTTCTTTGACAAAGAAGGATTGTGTAATTTTCACAATTTTTAAAAGTGAATGGCAAAATACCTTGTGTAGTCTTAATAATAAAAGGTGAAGCAAATTTGGAAAATCTCATATGTGAAGACAAAGACTTTGTACCCAAGAGTGATGTAACACTTGTTTCCTTGCAGTAAATACAATTGCTCATTCCTTTATATAGGTGCATCTAAAAAAATTAGAATATTGTGAAAAAGTTCAATTATTTTCTGGTCAATCATTTCAGAAAGTGAAACAGATATTACATAGATTCATTAAACATAGTGAAATATTTCAAGCCTTTATTTCTTGTAATTTTGATGACTATCATACACATAATGAAAAAAACAAAATTCCATGTCTCGGACAATTGGAATATTCCACAGCCAGCTTTTGGTACCTTTGGCAGTGTGGGCAGGAGCCAATTCCTGCTGAAAAATGAGATCAGCATCTCCATAAAACTCATCAGCAGAAGGAAGCATGAAGTCTCTAAAATGTCCTGGTAGATGCTGTGATGACTGTGGACTTCAGAAAACACAGTGGACCAACACCAGCAGAGGACATGGTACCCCAAACCATCACTGACTGTGGAAACTTCACTCTGGATTTCAAGCAACGTGGACTCTGGTCTTCTCTGCTGTTCCTTCAGACTCTGGGACCTTAATTTTCAAATGACGTGAAAACGTACTTTCATCTAAAAAGAGGACATTGGACCACTGAACAACAGTCCAGTTCTTTTTCTCAGTCCGATAAGACGCTTTTGACGTTGTTTCTGGTTCAGGAGTGGTTTGACTTGAGAAATGCAACATTTGTACCCATGTCTAGGAGTTAATTAGCTGATTTGGGTGTGACACCAGGAGTTTACAATATTGAACCTCTTCACAATATTCTAATTTTCTGAGACACTGGATTTTGGCGTTTCCTTATTTGTAATGTATCAAAATTAAAGAAATTGAAGGCTTGAAATATTTCACTCTATGTCTAATGAATCTATATACCAGTAGTATGTCTCACTTTCTGAAATGAATGACAAAAAGTCAAACTTTTTCCACAACATTCCAATTTTTTATGTGCACCTGCATTAGGCTAAACATTGGCCAAGTTCACAGTAATGTAGAATGAGAAGGATTGTTTGAGTGTACTGAGAAAAGTAGGCTTACTTTACTCTTCCAATGTCTGAAGTAACATGGCTTAATGTAACAATTCGAGAATATGGCAGGGTTTTCGTTCACTTATTTTTTTATAATGTTAAACAACTTTCTCAATAAAAAGGGAGGAAAAAAATTAAACTAGTTTGTTCTCAAAATAAAAAGTGGTCAAATAGTGGTTAATTTTATACAACAGAGTACAGAAATTTTGTATCACCAGTGACCCTCGCGACCCGAAAAGGAAGAAGCGGGTAAATATAATGAATGAATGGATGAATGAATGGATGAATGGATGTCAAAAGTAATTTCTAATTTCCATTTAGGTTTCTTACCAGGGATTCCCATATTCAATATAGTGAAGGTAGAAGCTGAGAAGTTTACAAGAATGTAACAACCTTTTACCTTTTAAGGGAAACATTTTTAAAGCTGTAATAGTTGACTAGTTACGTTTAGTTTCTGTCTGGTATAAAGTTTAGTGTCAACTAGTAACCGTGGAGCATCTAACAACAGAAATGTTTATATTTAATGAGATAAGCAAATCTGAACGCGCACAACAGCAAAACTCGAAGTTGTAGACATGACACACAAATTTAACAAGCTATGCATACAAACAACAAACCTTAAGTTTGCAAAATTGAGGTGATTGCTTAAACACATAACATTTAGCAAAATTATGGTTACAAGCAGACACAACATACACGTCTACAAAAGTACACTAAAGGAAAGGTATGGTGTAAAAATAGTTAGATGAATATAATAAAATGGCTGATTATGAGACATTGACTCAAACCTTTTTTATGCCAATAGAAAAATGTGATTCCTGAGATGTGGCACACAGACGCACCTTTCTGCTCCATTTGCATTCACCTCTCCCAATAACCACTGTCTCAGAGTGTATGTGCCAGAGAGAAGTGAAGCAGAGCAGAGTGACCAGGGATACTTGAGATCATGAAAGCAGGAGAGAGTAATTGCCTAGAGAGACGGGTTTTCCTAGAAAGCAGGAGCAAGGAACTGGAAGACAGGATAGTGGCTGGGGACTGTGTGGTCTTATGAGAATCATTAGGAGGAGAAACACTGATCGTGATTAATGAGAAGAACGTTTTAAAAATACGTACTGCTTTTAACACTTCAGTTATTTAGCCACCACAAACCAACAGATGGTATAAACGAAGCCCAGACAGTTACGTCTGTTACTAAGCCTATACTTAATGAACTGTTGGGAAAAAAGTAATAATAACAAAACACCATCACCAACACAATTACCCACTGTTAATGCTTTTAATAAAACCTTTTCAACGAATATAAAAGTTGAAATACTTATTATTTGTAGGGATGGAACAAACAGAGGAGACATGGTATACATCCATTTAGATTTCTCGGAAGTGAATTAAGTGTTCAGTTGTGAGTCAAACCTGGTTGTTAAATTTTGATGATTTCCAGACTAGTTCCAACGCAGATCCTTCCTTTCCTTGTAAATGTATATAGTGGGTTATGCTGAATGCATACACACTCCTGAAGCATGACAACTACCCCAAACATTCAGCTATACAGGCAAAGACTTAAAATTATCCTCAGTGAGAAGAAAAAAAAAGGAGTTCTGCAACAAATCAAAAAGCCCACAAAGAGCCCTGATCTTCACTTTATTTCATGATATGTTTGGACGAACTGTGCGCAAGTATATCTTCGGGCTTTTTTTTTAGGACAAAAAGTGGTCAACTAATACTGATTAGGTTTGTTTTTCATGTCTGCAACATAATTTGGAAAAAGTTCTTCACTTAAAGTCTATTCGATCACTAGGACACAAAAAAATCTTCATAAATAATGTCCACTACCAATATTTCTCTTGCATATACAAACATGGAGGTACCTTATATTAGGGTGTGTTTTACTCTCTGAACTGACTCAGTCCAAATTTCCCATCTTAGCTATAAACTAGAACCCAGTACGAGAAAAAGCCTTGGGTTGAAAGCTAAGGAGAAAATGTCCAGTTGAGATTGTACATAAACAAGGTTAAACTTAGACAAAGGGTGTGGTGTCCCCAAAAATGACGCTGGCAACATTTGATCATCCTCTCAGTATAAACATCCATTTGACTCCACAAGCTAACCTTTCACACTTCTGCGTCTCGAGAAGAAAGAGAACCTGTCTACAACAACTGCTAAAGCTAATTGTATCGTTCCTCAGCAACTGGTATATATTTATAAGCAAACACATTTGCTGCAAAGATTCCTTGGCCAACACGATGAAAGGACTTCTAACAAAAATTTCGAAGGGCATCAGATGACACAAACTAAAGATTAGTTTCAATTTTGGCCTGTTGTTGCCAAGCAAGTTATTTTCATTCAAGCTTTATTTAAACAGATAAGTCACATTGAGCCTCAAAGACTCATTTACAAGTGAGACCTGTTTGGACAGACAATACAAATTGGTGAAAATAATGCATATGGTTTTGGGGACAAAAAAAAAAAATCCTAACACACTTTTAATCTCTGTTTGAAGGTCAACAGTGTGATAATGAAAAAAAACCTCACACATTAGCACATAATGACGCCAACATTATGCGGGGGGGGGGGGGGGGGACGAAAGGGCGGTGAGCAGCCAGAGACAACACATAGAGGCACAAAACGAAGTTTAAACTGGGGACAGTGGCTTTATTGTCAGAAAACATTTTTTAAGTTTTATTGTTATGCCCTCTTCAAACATGGACTAGACCTGAAGACGTAAATGGATTAAAAGAACCTTACGTCTTTGCTTAAAGTGAAATCCCTCATTAGCAATTAATTTGGATGCTCATGGATGTGTCCAATTCTTAAATTTGGCTTACCCATACTGAAGTTGGAAGAATAAAAATATCTAGGGATGCACAATATTGGATTTTTGGCCGATATCTGATATGCCGATATGTTAAAACTTATTTGGCCGATAACAGATACTGATATTTTTATATGCTTTCCTTTGTCAGAACATAGCCCTCTTATTTAGGCTTATTTGCTACAAAAATTGTGCAACAGCTGTAAGAGCTGGTGACATATATTCAGTAACAGCCATGTGATACGCATAGCACTTTAACTTATATTAAATGAAAAGTGTTAAATGTTATTTATTAGCATAAGTCACCTGCAATGATGTCTCAGATGTGGAGGCTTGTTCAGGGTTTCTAGCTGCAGTGTGAGATCCTTTGCACTATTGTG